TTTCAAATAAAAATCTCTTATTTAGGTCTATATCTGGTTTTAGCGGACAGTCTGAGTTGCGGACTGACAGGAATAGCCAAAGGTTCGGGTGCTCTCATATACTTCCGCCCAGAAGTTTGACTGCCAGTGCCGATCACTCCGCCTTTCTTTCGGTACGGCATATACGATGTATTTGATGATCCAATTCGGCGAACACCTGTGTCTATGCGCGGCACACGTCCACTAATCGCACCGGTAGTATCCACGGCTTTAAACTGTTCAATCGATATATCATTGCCTTTCCCTTCTGGCGGACCTATTGTGAAATTCTTTGACATTCTGTTGAGAATAGGCTGAGAATAGCCAGGTCTGTCAAATCCTGTGCCACTCTGTGAGCCCAGGGATGTTCTTCTAGACGTTTGGGTCCCTATATTCTTCAGTTGTCGGCTTTGATTGCTGCCACCACTGGATCCCTTTCCACTCAATGCCATCAAATGGTGTTTATATCCTTTTTGAACGTCTGAGCTTGATGTCTGCGTCCCGGTGCTGATCTGCGAGCTCTGGGATCTTCTTCCAGATGTTTGTGTCCCTGTACTCTTCAATTGTCGGCCACTTGTCTGTTGAGGCCTTGAGGTTAGGCTCCGATTACTGCCAGGAGTGGACTGTCCACTGTTCGCACCAAACAATTCAATAGTAATGTTGTCGTCTTTCCCCATCGGCGGACCGATTCTGTAATTTTTGAGACCAGATTTCGGTGATCTTGTGCACCGTTGAGAGCTTCGGGATGTCATTTGGGAAGTTTGTGTCTCAATACTCTTCACGGGTCGACCACTCATCTGTTGATATCCAGAGCTGAGGCCATCAATAGATCTCTTTCCACTCAATGCTTTCAAATGGTATTTATAACCGGATTGAGTGTCAGAGTCTCGTGTCTGTTGTTGAGCACCAGTTCCTGAAACAGTGGGCTTTAGGGTCTTAGGCGTCGGTGTTTTATCACTTCCGGACTTCGGGAGGAACTGCTCTATCATCACATCGTTGTCGTTCCCAATGGGCGGACCGATTTGAATGTCACCCACCGTTTGGACTGATTTATTACTCATAGTTTTCATCTGGCGCTTGGAATGTGTTGTAGACGACTGTCCACTGCCAGCACCTGACAGACCGGTACCGAACTGTGCTATAGTAATGTCGTCGTCTCGACCCTTTGGCGGACCGATTGAGTAGTTTTTGATAGTCTTTTGGAGAGAGGACTCAGACTTTGTCTGTCTTTGTCTGGATAGTCGGTCACCAATTGTTTGCAATCTGCTAGACGTTGATCTCCCGGTGCTTAGAGGGGATTTCTGACCTTTCATTGCATTCATATAGTGTTTATAACCAAATTTAAGGCCAGTTCTGTCAAATCCTGGGCTGCGCTGTGAGCTCAGGGATGTTCTTCTCGATGTTTGGGTTCCTATACTTTTCATTTGTTGGCTTTGATTGCTGCCACCACTGGATCCCTTTACACTCAATGCCATTAAATGATGTTTATAGCTTTTTTGAACGCTTGATGCCTGTGTTCCGGTGCTGATCTGCGAGCTTAGGGATCTTCTATCAGATGTTTGAGAACCAATACTCTTTAGTTGTCGGCCACTTGTCTGCTGAGACATGGAGGTTAGGCCCCGGTTACTGCCAGGAGTGGACTGTCCACTGCTCGCACCAAACACTTCGATAGTAATGTCGTCGTCTTTCCCCATCGGCGGACCGATTCTGTAATTTTTGAGATCAGAATCGGTTCCTTTCAAGAGTTGCCTTCTGGGCGATGAACTACTGGATTGTCTGCTGCCCTGTGATTGTGAACTACCGGCGCTAACCATCGACTGTTGCTCTTTCATCGGCAGCATATGGTGTTTGTATCCAAACTGAGCGCTCGGTTTCTGTATTCTTTGTGAGCTCAGGGATGGCATTCTCGATGTTTGGGTCTCTATACTCTTCATATGTCGGCCACCAGTCTGTTGTGACCTATAGGTGAGAATCGGACCACTTGTCTGTTGTCTTTGCATTTGATTTAAACTTTGAAGACCTTTAGCACTGGATCTCTGGCCATACCGTTGGCGGTTGGGTTCAATATTACTCGTGGTTTCCTTCCTTCTCTTGTATGCCATCAAATAGACTTTGTATCCCATCCTCACCCCATCGGGTATACTGATCTGCTTCTTAGCACCTGATCTGTTCATAATACTTGACTTTTGATGGACTAATTATCTTAAACCTTATTTTTCAATAAGTTTTCAAATATTATAATACAGATTGTTTTGGTTTGGATTTATACTTTATTAAACTCTCGTGAGTATTAATTACGGGTATAGAGTGCTATAAACTAGTGAGCGATATATTATATTATTATTTCATCAATAAAATGAAATACAATAAAATCCTAGAAGTGAATAGAAAACCATTTATTCTATTATAATATTCAACTCTGTATTCAATGCAATGTTTGTGCATTTATTTTAATAATTTATTTCTAAAATTAATTACATATGAAATCAATAAATAATTCATTTAAAATCTTTTATTAATAATAAAAAATACATTTTACTTATTATAATTTCTCATTTATTTGTATCAATAAAATCATTTTAACATTTTAATAAATCATAACTTGAGATCTGAATTTAATTTAATTGACTTATTAGTAAAAATATCACAATTACTGCATTCACTCAGTGTTCACAGAATTCAATGGATCTTTACTATTCTGTTGAGTCCTTTGGTTTTGTCTATAAACACAAACACAATAAATAATTTGAACACAAAAAATTTGCAAAACTATATTTACTTTCGTTGTCTTCGTTTCTTCACTTGAATGACAGTCAAGAATACAGTTATCACTAGAAATGCAGCCAAACCTCCGATTATGTAATACCCATATCTCTCAAGCCATGGCCTGTCATCATCTGAGAATAATAATTATTTTATTGATGAAAATGATTTATTAGTTATTATTACCATCTCTGTTCACACACTGATCTCCCTGTGCCAGATAGTTAGGTAGACATAGACACACACTATTGCGGCAAAACTCGTTTTGGTCGCAATCGCCGCGAATGTAGTGCTCATTGAATCCCAATTCAGATGAATCGCAACTCTTGATTGCAATACATTTATTACCACTTAAATTGTAACCACTCTTACACTCACAGATATTCTTATCGGAACAGTAGGTTTGGTTATCAGTGCATTGATCTCTATTTTTGCATTCATTGTTTAGTGAGGCTATCAAATATATAACACATTCATTAGTACCAGTATGTACAATATGAATATTATAAAATTGAAAATTAAAATTCATAACAAACCAGATTTTAAACACTTTTTGCCTATCATTGGTACTGAACAGAGAGTATATGTTTGCCGACATATACATTGATTTCGTGAACATTGAGCCGAGTCTGTGCCCAAAACAAAAGTGCACTGGTCATCGTACTCACACCCACTCTCCCAACTCGACACTAGTTTATAATAATTTAGAAATAGTTTATAAAAATTTATAAATTGTGGCAAATTATGTCAAATAGATGTATACCTGGGAGACATTTATCCGCACTTCTTATATAAACCTCACTCTCTTTACATTTACATAGATTTTGGTAACAATTAGTACTATTGCAGTGATCGTTGTAATTGCATCTTTCTGTTTCCATATTACCTGTGCAAACATTTATTTCAATTTATGTTTNTATTCAAATAATTGAATTAAACATAAATTGAAATAAATGTTTGCACAGGTAATATGGAAACAGAAAGATGCAATTACAACGATCACTGCAATAGTACTAATTGTTACCAAAATCTATGTAAATGTAAAGAGAGTGAGGTTTATATAAGAAGTGCGGATAAATGTCTCCCAGGTATACATCTATTTGACATAATTTGCCACAATTTATAAATTTTTATAAACTATTTCTAAATTACTATAAACTAGTGTCGAGTTGGGAGAGTGGGTGTGAGTACGATGACCAGTGCACTTTTGTTTTGGGCACAGACTCGGCTCAATGTTCACGAAATCAATGTATATGTCGGCAAACATATACTCTCTGTTCAGTACCAATGATAGGCAAAAAGTGTTTAAAATCTGGTTTGTTATGAATTTTAATTTTCAATTTTATAATATTCATATTGTACATACTGGTACTAATGAATGTGTTATGTATTTGATAGCCTCACTAAACAATGAATGCAAAAATAGAGATCAATGCACTGATAACCAAACCTACTGTTCCGATAAGAATATCTGTGAGTGTAAGAGTGGTTACAATTTAAGTGGTAATAAATGTATTGCAATCAAGAGTTGCGATTCATCTGAATTGGGATTCAATGAGCACTACATTCGCGGCGATTGCGACCAAAACGAGTTTTGCCGCAATAGTGTGTGTTTATGTCTACCTAACTATATGGCACAGGGAGATCAGTGTGTGAACAGAGATGGTAATATTAACCAATAAATCATTTTCATCAATATAATAATTATTATTCTCAGATGGTGACAGGCCATGGCTTGAGAGATATGGGTATTACATAATCGGAGGTTTGGCTGCATTTCTAGTGATAACTGTATTCTTGACTGTCATTCAAGTGAAGAAACGAAGACAACGAAAGTAAATATAGTTTTGCAAAAGCCATGGCTTGAGAGATATGGGTATTACATAATCGGAGGTTTGGCTGCATTTCTAGTGATAACTGTATTCTTGACTGTCATTCAAGTGAAGAAACGAAGACAACGAAAGTAAATATAGTTTTGCAAACTTTTTGTGTTCAAAATTATTTATTGTGTTTGTGTTTATAGACAAAACCTAAGGACTCAACAGAATAGTAAAGATCCATTGAATTCTGTGAACACTGAGTGAATGCAGTAATTGTGATATTTTTACTAATAAGTAAATTAAATTAAATTCAGATCTCAAGTTATGATTTATTAAAATGTTAAAATGATTTTATTGATACAAATAAATGAGACATTATAAAAAGTAAAATGTATTTTTTATTATTAATAAAAGATTTTAAATGATTTCATATGTAATTAATTTTAGAAATAAATTATTAAAATAAATGCACAAACATTGCATTGAATACAGAGTTGAATGTTATTATAAATGGTTTTCTATTCATTTCTAGGATTTTATTGTATTTTATTTTATTGATGAAATAATAATATAATATATCGCTCTATACCCGTAATAAATACTCACGAGAGTTTAATAACGTATAAATTCAAATCAAAACAATCTGTATTATAGTATTTGAAAACTTATTCAAAAATAAGTTTTAAGATAATTAGTCCATAAAAGTCAAGTATTATGAACAGATCAGGTGCTAAGAAGCAGATCAGTCTACCCGATGGGGTGAGGATGGGATACAAAGTCTATTTGATGGCATACAAGAGAAGGAAGGAAACCACGAGTAATATTAAACCCAACCGCCGACGGTATGGCCAGAGATCCAGTGCTAAAGGTCTTCAAAGTTTAAATCAAATGCAAAGACAACAGACAAGTGGTCCGATTCTCACCTATAGGTCACAACAGACTGGTGGCCGACATATGAAGAGTATAGAGACCCAAACATCGAGAATGTCATCCCTGAGCTCACAAAGAATACAGAAACCGAGCGCTCAGTTTGGATACAAACACCATATGCTGTCGATGAAAGAGCAACAGTCGATGGTTAGCGCCGGTAGTTCACAATCACAGGGCAGCAGACAATCCAGTAGTTCATCGCCCAGAAGACAAATCTCGAGAGGAACCGATTCTGATCTCAAAAATTACAGAATCGGTCCACCGATGGGGAAAGACAACGACATTACTATCGAAGTGTTTGGTGCGAGCAGTGGACAGTCCACTCCTGGCAGTAACCGGAGCCTAACCTCCATGTCTCAGCAGACAAGTGGCCGACAACTAAAGAGTATTGGGACTCAAACATCTGGAAGAAGATCTCTGAGCTCGCAGATAAGCACCGGAACACAGACATCAGTCGCTCCAAAAGGCTATAAACACCATTTGATGGCATTGAGTGGTAAGGGATCCAGTGGTGGCAGCAATCAAAGCCAACAAATGAAAAGTATAGGAACCCAAACATCAAGAAGAACATCCCTGGGCTCACTGAGTACCACTGGGTTTGACAAAACTGGCCTTCAATTTGGTTATAAACACTATATGAATGCAATGAAAGGCCAGAAATCCCCTCTAAGCACCGGGAGATCAACGTCTAGCAGATTGCAAACAAGTGGTGGTCGACTAACCAGTAGTTCATCATTCAGACAAAGACAGACAAAGTCTGAGTCCTCTCTCCAAAAGGCTATCAAAAACTACTCAATCGGTTTGCCAGAGGGTCGAGACGACGACATTACTATCGAGCAGTTCGGTACCGGTCTGTCAGGTGCTGGCAGTGGACAGTCGTCTACAACACATTTCAAGCGCCAGATGAAGACTATGAGTAATAAATCAGTTCAAACGGTGGGTGACATTCAAATCGGTCCGCCCATTGGGAACGACAACGATGTGATGATAGAGCAGTTCCTCCCGAAGTCCGGAAGTGGCAAAACACCGACTCCTAAGACCCGAAAGCCCACTGTTTCAGGAACTGGTGCTCAACGACAGACCCAAACGTCGAGAATGTCATGCCTGGGCTCACAAAGAATACAGAAACCGGGCCCTCAGTTTGGATACAAACACCATATGCTGTCGATGAAAGGGCAACAGTCGATGGTTAGCGCCGGTAGTTCACAATCACAGGGCAGCAGACAATCCAGTAGTTCATCGCCCAGAAGGCAACTCTTGAAAGGAACCGATTCTGATCTCAAAAATTACAGAATCGGTCCACCGATGGGGAAAGACGACGACATTACTATTGAAGTGTTTGGTGCGAGCAGTGGACAGTCCACTCCTGGCCTAACCTCAAGCTCTGAACAGACAAGTGGTCGACAAATGAAGAGTATTGGAACCCAAACATCGAGAATATCATCTCTGGGTTCACAAAGAAGCACCGGATCATCGAATACAAGCCCTCAAAAGGGATATAAACACCATTTGATTGCATTGAGTGGTGGAAGTAATCAAAGCCGACAACTGAAGAGTATAGGAACCCAAACATCTGTAAGAAGATCTCTGAACTCACAGCACAGCACTGACTCACAGACATCAGGCATTCAAAAAGGATATAAACACCATTTGATGGCATTGAGTGGAAAGAGATCCAGTGGTGGCAGCAATCAAATCCGACAACTGAAGAATATAGGAACCCAAACGTCTAGAAGAACATCCCTGGGTTCACAGAGTGGCACAGGATTTGACAGAACTGGCTGTTCTCAGCCTATTCTCAACAGAATATCAAAGAATTTCACAATAGGTCCGCCAGAAGGGAAAGGCAATGATCTATCGATTGAACAGTTTAAAGCCGTGGATACTACCGGTGCGATTAGTGGACGTGTGCCGCGCATAGACACAGGTGTTCCCCGAATTGGATCATCAAATACATCGTATATGCCGTACCGAAAGAAAGGCGGAGTGATCGGCTCTGGCAGTCAAACTTCTGGGCGGAAGTATATGAGAGCACCCGAACCTTTGGCTATTCCTGTCAGTCCGCAACTCAGACTGTCCGCTAAAACCAGATATAGACCTAAATAAGAGATTTTTATTTGAAA